AGGGCCCGAGGCTTAGGAGTTTGGGGGTTGAGAAACGTAGTTCATGACCCTAAACCGCTAAACCGTAAACCCCTAAACCCCTAAACCCCTAAACCCTAAACCCTAAACCCCTACCCCCTAAACCCCTAAACCCCTAAACCCGAAACCCCTAAACCCCAAACCCTAAACCCCTAACCCCTAAACCCCAAAACCACAAACCCCTAAACCCCTAAACCCTAAACCCTAAACCCTAAACCCCTAAACCCCTAACCCCTAAACCCCTAAACCCCTAAAAACCCCTAACCCCTAAACCCTAAACGAAGGCCGAGGCACGATTAAAGCCAGCGCACCAGGACATGCCAAACTCGGCTTCGTGATGGCCGTAGTAGGTCGCCGGGTCCTTGGAAGCCAAGAACTTTGGGTTTAGGGTTTAGGGTTTTAGGGTTTAGGGTGTAGGGTTTTAGGGTTTAGGGTTTAGGGTTTAGTAAACTATCCTTCAACTTAGCTTTTCAGCTGATTACGGAGTGTCCAATTTAGGGTTTTAGGTTCCGGCTTGAGTTACATGTCCCTCGCTCGAAAGACATCTCGAACCTACATTCCCGAACTGTGCCTGCAAAGTCGAGTTCGCTTCAAGCAGGGGTACCCGTAGGTCTGTTGTGAGTGTTTCTTTGCTGAATTTCATACAGGAGCCTCAATGATAAGAGTGGGGTTTGGATGGCTTTGGGGGTATGACTACACAGTAGCTAGAAGAAACCTTAATACTATTCCGAATAAACCAAGCCCAAACCCCAAGCCCCTAAACCCGAAACCGAAAAACCAAACCCTGATACCCCAAGACTCAGACCCTCAATACTGTTGATGATATAAACCCTGCATTACCTTAGGGACCCTCAACTATGGGAATTCTGGTATATTCCTTATGATGGGTAATGCAGGATTTATATCATCAACCGTAGGACTTTGGGTTTACGTTCAAGCCCCATGAAGACCGAGATTACCCCCCATGTCTCGACCTCCAAGGTGCGCAGCCCAACAGACATACTCGGAAGACGGTTTAGGGCTTAGGGTTACTGCCTAATGAATACAGTGGCCCTCATAAATAGATTAGGCTAGACGGCATGCTTCAGGACAATTTACAAAGGGACTTTCAACTCCCTCAGAACGGTACGTTAGGCTCAAAAAGCTGCGCGCCCTAGGGTTCAGGATCCAGAACTGGCCCTAAACCCTAAACCCCTAAACCCTCCAGAACTGGCCCTAAACCTTAAACCCTAGACCCTAAACCCCTAGGAACCCTCCAGAACTGGCCCCTAAGACGAGCAGCGAAGATGGCGACGCCCTCGGGCGTCATTTCGTAGTTGCCGCTCCAGAGATCGCCGTGAAGAATCGACCTGGGGCTTCTTTTAGAAAGTAGGCAGGGTTTGGGGTTTAGGGTTTAGGGTTTGGGGCTTAGGGTTTGCTTAGGGTAGCATTTTTAGGGTTTAGTTTCGGTTTAGAGTTTGGTGGGGGTAGGGTTTTCAGGGTTTTTTTAAGGTTTAGGCTTGAGTTAGGGTAGGGTTTTCAGGGTTTAGTTAGGATTTAGGGTTTCGGGTCCAGGGTAGGATCTTTAGGGTTTGGTTAGGGTTTAGGGTTTAGGGTTTAGGGTTTAGGGTTTAGGGTTTAGGGTTTAGGGTTTAGGGTTAGGGTTTAGGGTTTAGGGTTTTGGGGTTTCGGGCTAGGGGTTCGGGATTTATCGGAGTCCCTTGCCAGGGAGTCCGATATCGCTGCGTTCAGGAGCACGCCGAAACTAACATAGGACTTCTTTCTACAACGGCACAGTGGATACTCCATGTTTTGATTCTTGGAGAAGGATCCTTGAAAGACGTAGGACTTCCGAAACCCTAAACCCCTTGGGACTCCCTCTGCAGCTTAAAGTTTACGAACCGGTGGTTCAGATTTAGGGTGTGGGGGGTTCAGGCTTTAGGGCATATCACATGACCGTTTTGGAACTCTCGTGGAAGCTGGGTAAGGTGTAGCTTCAGGAAAGGCGCTGGAAGCCATTCCGAAACCAAGGGCAGCTGCACGGCTTTAGCACTCCCTTTCGGACTCTCGGGTTTCATTTTCTCTATACCACGACTTGCCTATGTAATCGGGCATTTGGGGCTGTGGCTGCAGTTACTTTCCAAGGCAGGGTGATAACATGTGATCTGTGGAGCGGACTCGTTGATCTTATCCAGTCCTAGTGCGCTTCACAGCAACCAATCGCTGAAAAGGAGCTCCGAGCTTGTGTATAAATTCAATCAAGTGGTGTAACTGGGTTCTCCATTGGGTGCTAGCTGCAATAGAAATAAGTAATCGTCGTGGTGGAGCAGGAGGAGGACGAGGAGGAGTAGTAGCACCCGTAAGCGAAGCAGTGACAGCAACCATGTGGGTAGTTGTCTTTCCGGTCCCTTCTAGTATAAGCGTGCCCTACTATATTTGAGACCTAAACAGGGACCCTAATTTAGAGAACTACCCATATAGAACCCCTACAGAAACCCTTATAGATCCCTAACCAAAACCCAAAACCCAAAACCCTAAACCCTAATACCCCTAAACCCTGAACCCCTAAACCCTAAACCCTAAAAGAGACCAAAAGTCCTAATTTTAGAGAAGGTACCCCACAAAAGAACCCCCCCAGGAAGAGCCTGAGGCTGCGACGGCTTCACTTCCACATCTGTGAACAGGTCATTGAGGTCGTTGGTCTCCTATCTGCGCTTAAAGGCTTAGGGTTTAGGGTTAGGGTTTAAGCCTATAGCGCAATTAGGGTTTAGGGTTTAGAGGGTGTAGGGTTTAGGGTTTAGGGCTTAGGGTTTAGGCTTAAGCCTATAGCGCAATACTTACTTAAACACTCAACTCCGATTTGTGGTGCGTCTATATTTAGGGGTTGAACTCAAGCTTGACGTTTGGGGTTTTAGGGGTTATGGCTCTGAGATGATGGTATTCAGGAGTTCAGACGTTTGGGGTCAGGGGATGATTACTTGGGACTCTACTTATTAACAGTTTTATAGGCTCTACCTACTAACAAAGGGGTAATGGCTGCTAAATTGTAGGTAAAGAGAGGAGGGTTTCTGGTGTTTGGGGTTTTAGTGGTTCAGGTGTTCGGGGGCTTGCGGGCTTGGAGGTCGAGGGCTCATTACGGCTTAAGATGGGTTTCGAGGCTTTGAGTTCAGGGCTTTGGGGTTTAGGCATTTGGGCGTTTTTAAAGTTCAGGGACCTAGGGATGATGGATGTTGATCAAGTTGCTGGGCTCTGGTTCAGGGACTCAGCTTATTTCAGCATCTTTAAGCTACCATCATATACAGCAGATAAGTAGTAGGCTTTTCTTATCACTCCTCAACTGTATTCCCGGCATGCGCTGAATCCCCATCCACGGGAAAACACCTTCCTAAACACTGACCCTTAAAACACACTAGAGAACCCAATACCCCTTAATTAAGGAATATAGCTTAAACTATATGGGCCTTAATATTATGATTAAAAATATATTCCTCAATTAAGGGTTCTCTGGCCTCCCACCCCTCCCCCTCCCCCTCCGCTCCACCACCTCACCCTTGTTTGGACTGGCGCAAAAGCCTAAACGCTAAAGCCTACAGGGGCTGTACTAACCTGTATTATCAAGGCCCCTATATTCAGGCTTTTCATGACAATTGTAGTATAAAGGGCCCCAAAACCCTATTCTGATTATTAAGGCCCCTACATTAAGCCCTGAACCCTCAACCCTCAACCCTAAACCCTCAACCCTAAACCCTAAACCCTAAACTACATTAAGCCCTGAAGCCCTAAACCCTAAACCCAAGGCCCCTACATTAAGCCCTATGAAATTTTGAAAGAGGGCCTCAAGGACCTGCTTCCAGGTCCGCTGAAGATCGGTGCTGCCGGCCATCCTCACCTTTTTCTCAGGCTTTGTTTGTCAAGGTTCTAGTTTCTGTTTAGGGTTTAGGGTTTCTAAGGGTTGCTTTCAATTTTGTCAAAGTTCTAGATTTTGTTTAGGGTTTAATATGTTTAAGGGTTGCTATATATAGATAATGCTGACCTTCTTGCTAGCTTTTTGCCTGAAGTAGGCTTCTGAAAGGCTTAGAATGAGGATTCCTGCTTTCCCCTCTCACAAAAGAGCTCTACAAGGGTTCTAGAAGGGGTTACTGTAAGGATTCCCGTATTTCCCGGCTCAACTAGAGCTGTCTAAGGATGGCTATAAGCATTCTTGTCTTTTCTTTTGGGATCTGGGTGTTTGGCGCTGAGGAGCTCGGTGTGTTGAGTTTTGAGGTCTGGGTTTAAGGGTTTAGGGTTTAGGGGTTTAGGGTTTAGGGGTTTAGGGATTAAGGGTTTAGGGGTTTAGGGTTGTTGAGTTTTGAGGTCTGGGTTTAGGCGTTTAGGGTAGTAAGCTTTGGGGCTTACGGTTAAGGGTTCAGGTTAATCTTTGGGTCTGGGGTTTAGGGCTTAGGGTTAGGTTAAACTGCGGGTTTAGGGTTTAGGATTAACTTTGGGTCTAGGGCTTATAGGGTTAGGTTAAACTGCGGGTTAGGTTTAACTTTGGGTCTAGGGCTTAGGGTTAGGTTAAACTGTGGGTTTAGGGTTTAGGTTTAAGTTTGGGTCTAGGGTTTAGGGTTAGGTTAAACTTCGGGTTTAGGGTTTAGGTTAGGCTTTGGGCTTAGGGCTTAAGGTTCAGGGAGGTTTCCACTGGGGTTTACAAGTCTTACTTCGGATTCCGTGCAGCTTTTTCTGAGGCTTATTGACATCTTGTTGGGTATGCTTACAAGAGCGGCCGTCGGCTCGTTTATACATGCATACATACATACATAGGTACATGTGTGTATATTTATAGGTTTGAGTTCAGGGATCCTTCGGTCGATTCGTAGATGAAATGGCCCCCACTACCACTAGGCCCCATAGTAGTTCCTTTCGGAGGTTACCTTATAGGATTCTAAATATGAACCCCCAAAAAGGGACTACTATGGGGCCTATGGGTAGATCCTAAACCCTAGACCCACACCACTAAGAGCTAGGATTAGGGGACCCCTGGGGATATAGACCCTC